CACCCCTTCTCCCTGGGCTCTGTTCACATCTTTGTGCCTCTGGCTTTGGAAGGGTTTCTGTCTGTAATACATAAACCTTTCTTTGATCTCAGAGCAAGAGGCACTTGAACAAAGCCATCACCCCCACACCTTTCAGGGAGAGAAAGAGCTCTACAGTCAGAAGACAGACATTGCGCGCAGGAGGTGAAAGCAGTGTTCCACTACTTGGTCACAACTCAGAGATGGGCCATGAAACTTAGAGAGCACCTTAAAAGTGAGATAGGCTGGGCGCTGGTGGCTCATGTTTGTAATCCGAGCTACTCAGGAGGCTGAGATTTGAGAATCAGGGTTCAAAGCCAGCCCAGGCAGAAAAGTCCCCGTGAGGCTCTTATCTCCAATAAACCACCAGAAAACCAAAAACTAGAAGTGGTGCTGTGATTCAAATGTTAGAGCACTAGCCTTGAACTGAAGAGCTGAGGGACAGTGCCCAGCCTGAGTTTAAACCCCGCGACCTACCAAAAAAAGAAATAGAAGGGGTAGGGAGTGTGGTCAGTCTGATTAGCAGGGCTGAGGACCTGAGTTCAAACCCAAAATTTAAAAAATTAAATATGTGTGTGTGTGTGTGTGTGTGTATAAAACAAATACTGGAGTATGCACTTATAGCAAAGGTAAGAGTTGTCCAAGCCAGGAGCTGGTGGTTCACGACTGTAATCCCAGATCTCTGAGATCTGAGGAATGCAATTCAAAGCCAGCCGGAGCAGGAAAGTCTGTAAAACTTTTCTGTTGGTCATGGCACTTGAACTCAGGGCCTGAATTCTGTCCCTGAGGTCTTTTGCTCAAGGCTAGAGGCTCAACCACTTTGAGGTACAGCACCATTTCCAGTTTTTGAGTGGTTAATTGGAGATAAGAGTCTCAGAGAGACTTTTCTGCTTGAACTGGCTTCCAACCACCATCCTCAGATCTCAGCCTCCTAACTAGTTAGGATTACAGGCGTGAACCATCAATGCCTGGCTGTGAGACTCTTTTTTTTTTTTGGGGGGGGGGTCTGGTCGTGGGGCCTGAACTCTGGGCCTGGGTGCTGTCCCTCAGCTCTTCAGCTCAAGGCTAGCACTCTACCACTTGAGCCACAGGGCCACTTCCGGCTTTTTTCTTTTTGTTTATGTGGTGCTGAGGAATCAAACCCAGGGCCTCAGGCATGCAAGGCAAGTGCTCTACCACTGAGCCACCTTCCCAGCCCCTTGGCTATGAAACTCTTATCTCCAATTAACCACCAGAATACCAAAAGTGGCACTGTGGCTCAAAGTGATAGAGTGCTCATCTTGAGTGAAAAATCTCAGGGACAGTGCCCAGTGCCCTGCCCCTGCCCCTACCCTTCTCCTCCCTCCCCCCAAAAAAAGACTAGTCCAAAGAAACTTGTTTCAGTATTCTCACTTTATGAATGCTATGTGCCACTGAGCCCCTGGACAAAAGAACACAGGATAAGACAAAGGTACACTGAACAAACACATAAAGGCTGCTTATTCTGTGTCCCACACTATACAGGGCATAAGAAATCTGATGATGGGCTGGGTAGGTGGCTCAGTGGTAGAGCGTTTGCTTTGCATGCATGAGGCCCTGGGTTCGATTCCTCAGCACCACATAAGCACAAAGAAAAAAGCCATAAGTGGCCCTGTGGCTCAAGTGGTAGAGCGCTAGCCTTGAGCTGAAGAGCTGAGGGACAGCGCCCAGGCCCAGAGTTCAGGCCCCACGACTGAACCCCGCCCCCCCCCAAAAAAAGAAATCTGATGATGAGGGCTGGGAAGGTGGCTCAGTGCCTTGCATGCATGAGGCCCTGGGTTTGATTCCTCAGCATCAGATAAGCAGAAAAATCCAGAAGTGGCACTGTGGCTCAAGTGGTAGAGCCCTAACCTTGAGCTGAGGAGCTGAGGGACAGCATCCAGGCCCAGAGTTCATGACCGACAAAAGAAAGAAAGAAAGGAAGGAAGAAAGAAAGGAGAGAAAGAGAAAGAAAGAAAGAAACTCACATTGGAATGTGGCTTCTAGGTGGGAATCAAATATCAAATATGCAGCAATTCCAAGACACCATGCTAAGTACCCCAAGACAGTATGTAAGAAGTTATATCAAAAAAAAAAAAAAAGATGGAGCTGGGAAGGTGGCTCAGTGGTAGAGTGCTTGCCTTGCATGCCTGAGGCCCTGGGTTCGATTCCTCAGCACCACATAAGCAAAAAGAAAAAAGCCGGAAATGGCGCTGTGGCTCAAAGTGGTAGAGAGCTAGCCTTGAGCTGAAGAGCTGAGGGACAGCGCCCAGGCCCCCCCCAAAAAAAGAAAGAAAGAAAGAAAAAGAAAAGGGCTAGTTATGTGACTTAGTGGTAGAATGCTGTCTAACATGCATGAGATGCTGGATTCAATTCCTTGGTACCACATAAAAATTAATTTAAACAATTAATTTGCCAGGAACCAGTGGCTCACACCTGTAATCCTAGCTACTCAGGAGGCTGAGATTTGAGGACTGCATTTTGAAGCAAGCCTGGGCAGGAAAGTCCATGAGACTTTAAAAAATTTTTTATTGTTATTATAAAGGTGATGTACAGAGGGGTTACAGTTATTTACTTGAATACAGTTAATTTAAGTAAAGAGTACATTTCTTTTTGGACAATGCCAACCCTTTCCTCGCTCCCTCCTAGTTTTTTTCCTCCCATCCCCACCCACAGTTTTATAGTTCATTTTCAACGTAGTGTCCGATGAGGACCATTGCTGCATTTGTTCACCCTTTGTCTCTCCATTTCTGTGCCCCATGAGACTCATCTCCAATTTACCTCCAAAAGCCAGAAGTGGAACTCAGGCTCAAGTGGTAGAACATAAACCCTGAGCAAAAAAGCTCAGGGACAGTGCACAGGCCCAGCACCTAAAAATAAATAAAGAAAAGAAAAGAAAAAGGTTACAAATTCCATGGTGAGAATTGGCATCCACAAGGACTTACTAATGTGGTGTTGCAGTTTGAGTTCTTAATAAGAAAAGACAGTAAGTTCTAGTATCTCCTCCTACTTAGGAAAATAACTATAGTAGAGTATTGAGTTAAATCTAAATACTTTTGTAGTGCCTTTTTTTCTTTTTCTTTCTTTGAGACAAGGTCCTCAGTTCCTCCGGATATTTTGATCCTCCTGCCTCAGCCTCCAAAATGCTGACAGGCATGCACTTCTATGCCTAGCTTCTGCCTTAGCTTCATCTGTGAGATCTTAGATGAATCGATTAACCTTTCCAGACCATGTTTCTTCACCAACAAAATAGGCATCATTTCTGCTGCTAACCTCAAAAAGGGGGGGGGGGAAATCAAATGAGACAGATAATTTGAATGTACATTATAAAAGAGGAGGGACTGTATCTTTGAATGAGGAAATGGAGGCAATAAGGTAAATTCTCCCAAACCCACAATCCTCAGTTCTCCACTCTTGCATGCACTACTCCCACTATGACCATTCTCTTTATAGAGAGCAGGGGCAGGGCTCAGAAAGGCTTCCTAGCAACCTGAATTAAAGATGTACCTTAAGGAGCCTATTGTTTTCATGGTGGGAGGTAAATATGTCAGAACTCCTCCGTTTTCCCCTCTGATGATGAATTAGAATCTACCCAAACTCAGTGTTTTAAAGTTACATAAGCATCATTCAGATATTCTGTTAACAGCCACTTTCATTTTGGGAAAAACAGCATTTTCCATTAAAATGATGTTACATAAAAAAAAAAAAGGTTCTGTATATGTGTGTAGGAACAGCAAGAACCAAACCAAGCAGTTAAGGCGCATGGCTATATGTGTTCCATGGTATCATGAGGACAGTACCCAGCAAGTGAAGCTCTGACCTACTTGTCTTCTGACCTCTAATAAGACCCTGATGCGTGTTGGACAATTGTAACTGGAGCAGGAAGGCCACCAGCTGCCCCCAACCCCAAGGGACTAGATCAGCCCTAACCTTTTTGTAAGTCCTTCCCTTCCTTGGCAGGGTGAGTTCCATTGAATCAAAACACCTGAGGGTTGAAAGTAGCTATGAAGTCACCTCCCTTTCGGGAGTGACCACCTCTTGGTGACAAAGGGAAATCCCTCACCTATAATCTTGAGCCAGGTACTCACAGTTTGTGGTTCCAGGGGATGGCCTGGGGCCTAAAGAACAAGGAGTGAGGCAGCCTGGGACTGTCAGGCTGACTGTGGAGCTGAAGCTCCTTCCTTAGAGACCTCCATTCCCCAAGACTCAGGATGGGGCTACGGGAGGTAAGGAGGCTAGGCTGGAAGGATGGAGTGCCCGAATTTGAATGAGTGACTTTGAGCAAAGCCCTAAACCTCAGGTGCCTTTTGGAGTGTGGAGGTCACACAGTCCAGAGGTCAATTCCAGCTCTGACACTCTGGAGTCAAAGGTCTAGTCCCCTGTCCCACATTTTCAGAATTCCGTGGCTGTACTCTTCTGTGAATCCGAGGGTCCTAAGCAGGAAGTACGGTTACTGCCCTGCATCCCCTTACCAACTCTGGGTTAAGACGGTTACCCCAAGGGCAGGATCACTCAGGACCAGGTCACAGACACTGAAACACCCGAGCAGGCAAACGTGAGAGGTGGCGTGGCCTTTTAAGTAGTTGGGAAGGGGGTGTGGCGGAGGAGCTTGGGAGGCCGCAGCCCGTGAGGGGGAGTGGCCAGGGGGCGTGGCCGTAGCGCCTGGAATGTTGTTGGGTCCTCGCACCGCATAGTAAGGAGGGGCCACGCCCCTTTTCTCCAAGGAGGCCAATCGGAGCGGCGGAGCGGTTTCAAGTCTCCCCAACCAGCCTGCCTGCCCGCTTCCCCACCCCCCTCGGGGATTCGCTTTTTCCGTGACAAAATAGCATAGCTAGGGACCGTTCGCTATCCCTGCGGTGCACAGGTCGGAGGGTCCGGGGGCCTAAGACGCTGGCCTAGAGTGGGAAGCGCGGGTAGGCCCCGAGGAGGCCGGGTTCAGAACCGGGAGGCGCGCGGGGGTGGGCGCTGCAGCCGCGGGTTGTTTATCTGGAGTACGGAGGGGAGGGGGGAGCCTGGAAACCGCCCCGTGTCCCATTTCCTCCTCTTGTTTTCGCTCCGGATTCTCCATGTTGGACCCAAACTGAGGAGCCCGGAGCTGCCACCGGGGGATCGGGGCCGGGGGCACCCGGGGGAGCCGCTGCCCGGGCCGCCCGCCCTCTGTATAGGCCTCCTCCCTTCCCGGCCCGGGGAGGAAACAAGAGGGGGGATGTGAACAGCTGTGGGAGTCCGAGTCTTGGGAGCCGGAGCCGGAGCGGGCCCCCGCCCAGGCCCCCCCCCCCAGCCCAACCCAGCCGAGCCTGCAAGCCCGCCGGTCCTCCCGCCCAGCCAGCTCGGGCCCGCGGGATTGTTAGATGGAACACGGCTCCATCATCACCCAGGCGCGGAGGGAAGACGCCCTGGTGCTCACCAAGCAAGGTAGGGGCCGCAACTTCCAAAAACTTTACGCCGCCCCCGGGCGGGGAAGGGGCGCCTATCCTCCCCCCGGACCCACGTCGGGTCACCCCACCTCCCGGGGCGACGGACGGACATTTCCTACTGGACCCCCGGGTCCGTCTGCCACCGCGTCCCAGTCGGTACTCCGAGCCCCACGGGGGCTGCGCAGGGCCCAGGCGCCCCGCGCCCCGCGCCCCGGGGGGGGTGTCACCCGCGCAGCTGTCACTCCGCCGTGCAACCCCTCCCCCAGGCACGGCGACCGAGGGGTCGCGCTCGCAGCACCAGCCCACCCGCGGCCGCCCCCTCCTGAGTGGGTGGGGGCGGTCCAGGGGAGGGGTCGCTTTTCTGCTCCACTGCACGCTTACTGCCCCGGGATCGCGGGAAGGGATGGGGAAGGGAGACCGAGGGGGGTCCCAAGCTGGAACCGAGCCGGGGCTGGAGTTCTACACTTCCGAGCGCCCCCTTCCCCACCCCCCGCCCCCGGGAAGCTCGCGATCGCTCGGACAGCCAGCGGTGACCGCGTCCAGGTGGGGGTTGGAGGGCGGGGGACCAGGTGGGGGGCGGCGGAGGGGGGAGACTCCGGACCAAGTTGGTCGCCTGGCGGCTGGGGACGGCCGCGGGGAGGGGAAGGGGTCTAGGCCCAGGTCGGGCCCGACTGGCCCTCGGGCCGCTCCGCTCGGGGGCCCGGGGTCCCCGGTGGCCCACGGGGGCTGCCTCCCCGCAGATTTCGCTGAGCCAAACGAGCCGCTGCGGAGGCCCGGCCGGAGCCCCTCCCTGCCCGGTGCGCTCCCCCGGGGCCGCCGCTGCACACACAGAGCCGCGTTTGTTTAGCCCGGGAGCGGTGTCCCTGGTTACATAATTCGCCGGATGGCATCAGACCCGGAGTGTTTCTGAATCGCGCAGCGAAAAAGTGCGAGTTCTCTGTGGGCAGCGGCTGGCGGCCCCCGCCTTCCTGAGGGTCTGGTGGAGACGCTGGTGGCGGGGACGGGCAAGCCCCCCCTCTCCCGGGGTGGGTGGGCTTGGGAGGGGGGACGATCGGAATGGAGGGAGAGGCCTGGGCCTCCTACGGGGGGCGAGGAGCTTAGTTTGGGCGTAGTGAGGACCCTGAAACTCTCTTCCCATCTCCTCCCGGCCTTGAGGACTGTGTAGAATTTCCACGCGCAGTTAATAAGGACCAGCCTCACCTTCGAAAAAAGAAAAAAAAATTTTTTCTAGAAAACTCCCCCAAGACTGAGGCCACTTGGCCCAGAGGCTTAGGCTACTGAGCGTTCTTGGGACCAAATCCGGAGTATTTCTGTCCTCTGCCATCCCTCCCTTCCCCCCTTCCCTAACCTCAGGGCCCTGTGCTGCCGCCTGGATGTACCCAGAGCCTGGTTGGGGGCCAGCTGCAGGGCCTGCGTTTGGACCCACGTCTCTGCTGGTCCACGTTATTTGTTCCTACGGTTATTTATTCCTAGGGGTCACGTTCCCCAGAGACTCCCCCAGTTTGCCTATTGGCAAAGCAGCTGGTCTGATGTGTCAGCCTCTCTGGAATTCCTTCGTGGAATGTCCAGAGAAGGGGGCCCATGTAGGCTTCCCACATCCTGGGCCCTTTAAATAAGCCAGCCTTGAGGAGCCATGGAGCCTTGTACTCCGGTTCCTCCTGCAGACCGCCCCAACCTCTCAGACCTCCTGTTGCCTGCTTTTCTGCCCTCCTGGCTGCTGTATCTCAGCTGTGTGTGACCTAGACAGCAACTTCACACTGCTTCTGCCCACTGCCCAGCTGTGCCAAGGGCTGAAAAAAGGGAGGTTGCCCACGGCCATACTCCTCCCCACTCTCACCCCAAGAAAGACCCTAGGTACCTGGCTGAGGTGAAGCAATCTGGATGTGGGAGGGTACAAGGTGGTGAGGAAACAATAGTATCCCACCAGGTGCTTTGGGTGGTGGGGTCCACACCAGAGGGAAGGAAAAGTTGAACTGTGAAGTGGCATCTGACAAATCAGAGCCACAAGTTCCATCCTCCAGCATGAGTGGCAGGTGACAGAATAGGTAACCCCAGGAAGCAGCTGGCTTCATAATAGTGTCCTGGTGCTGTGGTGGCTGCGTTTTCTTGGAGTTGGGATTTTGTTTTCATTTTGTGTATGTGGTTTGTCCTTCAAACTTATCCCTGGAGGAATCTGAATTCTCAAGCCAGCAGCCACTGGGCCTCTCCCTCCCCACCTTCCTTCTCCCCCCACCCCCCTTGTGTAATTTGATTGCATTCCAGAGAAGGCATGCTTTCTTTTTGGGCTGCTTGAGCACCCAGCAACCAAAGCCAGCTTGCTGAGTCCTCCATCATTTACAAACAGAACTTGCATCTTAAAAACAAAAAAAAGGAGGAGAGGAAGCAAATGTTTTCTTTAGCAATTTCAAGAGTTCCTGTCCCTCTCCTTCCTCCCCCACACCAGTCCCATCCCCAAGTCCTGCCAGCCTTTGGAAAAAGAGGGAGGCAGTTGATTAAAAAGTCAATTTCTGCAAAGCAATTGCTTCTAGCTTGGGTGGCTCTTTAGTGAAGTTGTTTTCCATTGCAGATTTTTTTTTTCATTTTTAGCATTCTGTTCTCTTGAGCTTTAAGGCTGTCTGGGTGTGTTGATGATTCAAAAGTAATTACAGTAGGGGAAGTAGAACAAAGTTGCTGAAAGCATTGATGATAAAAGCACCAGAATTGGATCATTTTCCCAGACAGATGGGAGAAATGGCTTCCTGGGACAGCAAGGACAAGATTGTGCACAATATCAAAAATCAAAAAGGTAACGTGGCTTTGGCTGGAATGTCCACTTACTGCAGTCACATACCAGGATGTCACCTTCATTGGTAGAAGGAGGTGCCCTGGGTGGTCTCTGCTCTGAAGTGAGGAAAAGCCAAGAAAACTAGGCCCATCTGTAGTCCCCTTCGTGTAAAGTAAAAGGTAGAAGAGGCAGCCTGTACGTTTTCCCAGCTCCTGCCTTCTCCACAAATGGCAGAGAAATTGTGCCTCATTCTTGCAAGAAAACATTTGAACACCTTTGTGTGTATGTGTGTGTGGGGGGGTGTTTGTGGGTGCACACGTGCATGTGTGTGGACATCCTGGTGCACACACACTTGCCATCACTGAGTGTTGAACTCAGGGCCTAGGTTCTGCCCCTTAGCTTTTTTTTTTTTTTTCTCAAGGCTGGTGCTGTAACACTTGAATCATAGTTCCACTATGGTTAATTTGCTGATTAATTGGACATAAGAGTCTCATAGACTTACCTACCTGGGCTGGCTTTGAACTGTGATCCTCAGACCTTAACCTGCTGAGTAGCTTGGATTACAGGTATGAGAGGCAAACACCTGGCCAAACACCTTTTGCTGTAGATATAGCGAAGCCTTTAGGGGAAAAGGCTGAAAAGAAGTCTTGCTGGCCTTTGCTCCACAACTAGCTGGATGGGTGGGACTCTGCATCTGCATGCAGTCTATAGGGTCTGGGCAGCAAACTTCTCTCTCCTAGCCCAGCCTGGGTCTTACCTCTTTTGTCTCTGTGCTGCTGAGGCCCAGCTCTGTGATTCCCCCCCCCTCCCTAGTTTGTATTTATTTTCTCCACCCTTGAGGACCCCAGGGGAGTGCTTTTAACTCAAAAACAAAGTTTGTAAATGCCCAGCACCTGGGACCACTGCTTTACCAGCTTTCAGCAGAGCAGGACTTTGAAATTCCTGTAAGAAATCCCTGGAGGGATTGCCGGGGGTGGTGGTGGGTCTTGTCTCCTTACCCGCAACTGGAGAGGAAAGGAGGTGGCCCACTGCTCCCAGGGGGATCTTCCAAATCCCTTTGCTGGGACTTTGCAATACTGTGGAAAGCAATTTCAAGCCAAGATAATCTGATGCTCCCAAACTTTTTGTGGAGAAATAATGGATATGTTTCTACATGTAGCAAAGAAAGACAACATGTAAATACGCACGTGTGTGTGTGTGTGTGTGTGCGCGCGCGCGCGCATGCTGCTTGCACACCAACATCGATTCCTTTTCCTTTCTCCCTTTGTCGACTTTCTGCTATCTTTTGGGGAATTTTGGGTGTTGGCTTTATTTCTATCTTGGGAAATTTGGTTCTTGAATTGAGTGAATTGGGACCAAGGTGGCATGGGGTGCACTTAAAATGTTGATTGTGCCAGCATTAAAATGGATTTTTTTAGGCCTAGGTTCAAACCCTCTCCCTGTTGTTCACAATACGACTTCAGTATTGTAAGTACTTTAGCTGTAAAATAGGAATAATGATATCTGCCATTCTATGCCATACTTAGTAGATGATGGATAAATGTTAATACCCTTTTTTATGCAGCTAAACTCCTACTCCCCTTTCTTTCGTTCCCCAAGGACACAGTTGTGTGGGTTTTCCTGTTAAAGACAGGTGGCTGGGGGTCAGAGGACACGCGGATGTGGGGGCTCAAGCTTTCTGTGTCTTAGAGCCTTTTTGCACAGACCCCTTCTTTGTGCCGGCAGTACTTGGGGTGGAATTTTCATCCACATGTGCCGTGGGGCTGCAGCCATTCTGGCTGGCGCCTGGGCATGGGGGGGAATAAAGGAGGCCAGGGAGTCATGTGCCTCTTCTGAAAGAGTCGCTGAAGTCTAACCAAATCTTCAGAACACTTGCTTTGACCTCTCAAAGATGGCTTCCCTTGCTGTTTGCATTTAAGTGACTGAAGCTGCAGGTTGATGGCTCAAGCCTAGCTACTCAGGAGGCTATCTGAAGATTGAGGTTCGAATCCACAGGAAAGTCTGTGAGACTGTTTATCTCCAATTAACTTCCAGAAAGGGCAGAAATGGAACTGGGGCTTATGTGGTAGAATGCTAGCCTGGAGCAAAAAAGGCTCAGGGACAGCACCAGGTCATGAGTTCAATCCCCAGTACCAGGAATCTTAATAAGAGAAGAGAAAAGAGCAGGTGTTTGTTTGTTTAAACAGATATTGTTACGGTTTGCCTTTGCAGCTTTGGGTAGAACTTTAGGAGAT